CATATCAGAGATCAATTAAGACATTATTTGATTGGATACATCAAGAAGTTAATACAACAAGTACTCAAGTCATCTTTCGAACCTATTCGCCTGTTCATTTCAGGTTGGTTTAACGGTGTATTTTTTTTTATTACTTCAACAAATAAGTTTGGTTCCTTCTGTTAAATTGTTAGGTACACTTACACATTTACTAAAATTGAGCTATTTATCAAACTTAGTTAGAGCATTGCAGGAGAAGTGGAGAACCTTTTTTTTTGTTTTTTTTTTCAGTTCATTTTTCTCCCTCGAGGATTTGTATAGGTGTATTTATCATTGCCATAGAACATGAAATAACTTTTGAGTTTTGGAGACTCATCAATAAACTAATTCATTTTTTTTGTATGAAGCCATTAGCGTAGGTTTACAGACCTCACTCAATAGAAATCAAACCCAAAATTAATTAGAAACTGAGAATCTGCTAGAAACAAAAAATTCTTACTAATATTTATTCTGTTCTTTGTAAAGATTTTGTCAATGTAACTTGCTCATTTTTCCATGTTTTTTGTAGTGGTGGAGACTGGAAATCTGGAGGCAACTGTCACATGGAGACAGTTCCTGTACTGGAAAACTCACAGCTTTCACTGAAACCATGGTCCAAATTCCTGAAGCCATTCAAGAACGTGAATTCAGTTCAATCTAATGAAAAGTTTCCGAAGATTGAACTACTAAATGTAACCAAGATGACAGCTAGAAGAAAAGATGGCCACCTCTCCCTGTTTTATCTTGGTCCGTCAGTTCGAGCACCGCAGTATCGACAGGATTGCAGCCATTGGTGCTTGCCTGGTGTTCCTGACGCTTGGAATGAGCTTCTTTATACGCTTTTCATGAGGAGAGAATCCATGGAAGATCATAGGATTACAGACCTCACTCACACTCCAAAGAATAAGCTTATCAGAATATGTCAAAAATAGCCTAACATTTTATAATAGAAGTAAGATTATGAGATAATGTCAAATAATTTTATTTACAGCAATTCAAATCTCAATAACTTTTAAAAGCTTACCGTCAGACATCAAAGAATATCAAAATAAATTCTAAAACAATCTAAAATATTAGAATATTCTAAAATTATATAAATTTAATTTTAGTGCATGTCTTCACCACATTAATTGAACCATGCATTTTTTTCTTTTATGATAACAAGGATTGAAGTGATGGTCTCCATTTCTTTCTTGTTATTAGTTTGACGTTTTCTTTACTTTCTCATTTCTTTTGGCTGTGATTCTCTGCATAAAAAAATCCTAAATCTAGA